GTAGGAAGGAGAGTCCAGAGGTGGCAGTTAACACGATGGAGCTCGTGAGGACTTCACATCTCCCGAAGGGCGCTCGTACGTTTGGGCCAAGGACATATGCGCAAGTGCTGATGACCTGCGAGAGGCTGGGTCAGCTGAAGAAACCGTGACGAGGGCGTCACAAAAATGGGTGGGGGAGAATATCACGCCCCGCCTATAGAGGTTGTGCCACGCAGGCGACACGCAGACGCTGAGGAGGACGCTGTATGGCAACTGCATGGCAAATGGAGTTTCTAGAGTCTTCCGGAGTAGTCTAGAGTTGTGTGGAAGATTCTAGATATGTGTAGAAATGTGTAGAAGTGTGTGGAAGGTTCTAGAGTTCTCCAGAGTTGTGTGGAGTAGTATGGAGAATTCTAGAATGTTGTAGATACTAGTAGATAAATATGGAAGTGTGAAGAAGGTGGGAGAAGATTCTAGATAATCAATCTCCACCGTTGGTTAGAATGCATCCTAGCCGTCCATTAAGGATGGGGATGCCTATAAATAGAGGTAGGACTTCATTTTGTAGGGAACAAGTCCTAGAGTGAGTCATGAGAGCCTTGTAGAGAGCTTGAGTGTTAGCCTTGTACAAAGCATTCTTTGAAGTAATAGAAGTGTTCTTTCCTTGCCAACTTAAGTGCCTTAGTTGTGTATGAGTGTGCAAGCCAAGTGAGGAGAGAGCGAAGGCAACTACAACACTAGTAAGCGCACGAGGGGAGTGTGTTGGCTAAGGTGTGCACGGGAGTTAGGCTGACCAAGTACTTGCGAGAGTGGAAGCAACGTCTTGGTGCCGCACGGGAGCAGCTAGAGTGGTGCTGAAACTCTAAGCCCGTGACAATAGGCTTATATAAAGATACAAGACTAACCTAATAACACAAGGGCCCTACCAACTATATGTAATTATATAATGACCCAACATAAGTATATATATATATATATATATATATATATATATATAAACATTCTAGCAGTTACAAGATTTTTAGAAGCAAAAACATGAAAGCATGTTTGGTAAAAAAAGTTGCAGGTTTGAAAATTTGAATGGTTAGTTAAAAATGTTATTTTAGGAAAAAATAAAAAATAAAAATAAATTATGAACCGTGCTTTGCTACAAACAAAAGCATCATTTTGATGCTTCCGATTTTGACCTTAATTTTGGAAGCGCTTCGGTACTATTCAAAAGCACAACAAATATTATCACACATGTTTCGCGCCTTTGCTTCGTTACAGTACACTAGCAAAAACAAAAAACACGAATCAAAAACACTAGCCAAACAGACCCTTAGTACACGAACGTGACAATTTTACTTCACAACTCCACCACTTGTACTTCACAACTGTGACACTTTTACTACCAAAAAGAAAAAAAGAAAAAGAGTTTTGAGTGCACCAGTGCACCGGTAAGGTTTTTTATTTTAACTTCTACCGTAACTAGTGGGCAGTATCCAAGCACATCTGTGCACTGCCTTTTATTTTTTATTTTTTGACTTCTAGTGAGTTGAGTTGGCCTTTAGGCAGAGCACATGCACTTCTTAAATTAGTTTAGGAGTAGTGATAACTGATAACCCCTTCAATTGCTTATATACATCAATTTGGTCTTCACACAGATTTATTTATTTATTTATTTATTTTTGATAAGTAAAATTGTATAAAAGTGCTCAAAAGGGTAGCGGAACCCAAAAGAAATACACAAGGCCACAAAGGACCTCTAAGCCTTCAAAGAGGCCAAAAAATGGGTCTTCACACAGATTTATGAAGTCCGGATAGAATTAATCTGTCCTTCACATAGATTTATGAAGTCTGCTTCTCCAACAAGAATTTATCTGTTTCCATTACAATTTTGGGTCGAAGCAAATGATTTCAAGCAATCAAAAATCCTACCAACAACACAGTGGTGGCGGCCACCAGAGGTCTCATTCAATGTCACTACAGTGGTAGGCGGTGGTGAGACAGCCAACCACCGATTATCTCTTCTCCATCCACCATCTCCCACCTCCATCTGTGATCCTCAATTTCAAAAAGCCAAAAAACAAAAAGAACTTGATCATATACCAGAATAACTCCCTAACCCTATATCTTGATCAATTGAGAGAGATAAATAGGAAATTGTTGAGTTTAATTGACGATAGAAGTGAAGGGTCAAAGGAAATTGTTGAGTTTAGTTGTAATTGAAGTGATTGTTTTCCCTTCCAATTCCACTGGTCAGTGGTGGTTTTGCGTAAAACTGGGTTTGTAGTGTTATACTGAATAAACATGCATATATATATATATATGCATGTTTTGTATATAATAAATCTCACGATGTTTTAGTAGAAATTAAGAAAAATATGTGGTGGGAGAGCTGGAAAAGAGAGAGAGCGTCTAGAGATAGAGATGATGGTGGAGATAAGGGGCGGCAGAGAGAGATGGAGTGGCAGTGGCGATGGTGGTGGAGGGGATGGTGGAGAGATAGAAAGAGGGGTACAGTTAACTTAATTGGGATCTATTTCTCTCTAGAAAAAAGGAATTTATTACAAAAGCTGCTGAGGACACTTTGGACCAAAAGAGTAGATATTAATGTATTGCTAGTTACTTTTAAGTGACTTTTTCACCCAATAGTTTTTGATGTTTGTTGTGTTTTGAATTATGCCAAAATAACTTGTCAAAAATAGAATTGTCCCATATTTCAATGTGTTTAAGTTCATTATCTTAGATTATTGTTATTGTTGTTGTTATTGTCGTCGTTGTTTTTTCTGTTGATTTAATAAGAACCCATATAATAAATTTATTGAGAGAATAGACAAGGAAAACACATGATATGTTTTGGCCAATAACAGTAGTTGGCCCTGGATTTGAAGTCCTAGGTTCAATCATCAATGCCTTGTTTGCAGTCCCCTTGAGTTTAAATGGCTCTGTCCACTTTCTATATAGCATTTGGTCTAGAGATCTAACATTTTGAATGGATGAGTAGGAAAATTAATATATCTTGGGCTGTGATCAATTTTTATGTTCCCTACACACAAGAAGGTTGCTTCAATGCTTCATTGTGAAATTCAGGGGGCGGGCCTTAACGCAACAATAAGGTTGCTTCATTGTGACTTGGAGACTCGGGTTCAAAACTGGAAATAGCATCACTGAATGCGGAGGTGAGGCTGCAAACATCTAAACCTTCCTAGACCAATGACGGGAGTTTCGGGCACTAGGCTTGCCCTTCAATTACAAAATTGAAAATTTTTAGCATCATGCTTGAGATGGTTGCCATTTATCAAAATAGTTTCATTTAAGATGATGAATTATGCATCAGAATGCAATGTAGCAAGGCCATCCAAATTCAAGGAGACATGCAAAGTTGAAATAAAATTTAGAGGTCTCTTGCTCTTCTCAACTCAGCAAAGTTTATGCATTGTGTTGAATGTAATATGTTATTCGATGAAATGATCATGATATATAAGATCTTCCTTTTGCACAATGGCTCAAGGGGATTTTTGTCATCACGGAGAAAATTCTACACTGAATAATTCTATTAATTAATTAGATATGCCTATATTCATTATTAGAACATAAATTATAGATGACTCAGGCAATAAAATTTGGAAGTTCAATGTGACAGCTTATAACAATCAAACAAAATACAAACATAAGACCAACCATAACTTATGAACATCTTAAAGCTATTTTTTCTTTTTCAACAAACAATTGACAGATATTTTAACTAATTAAGCATATATTAACTAAGTGTATTATTTTATGTAATACGGGTCATGTAACAGCCCACTCCACCACATGGTATGAAATTGTCCGCTTTAGGCCTAAGCCGACGTGGTTTTGTTCTTGTGTTTTACCCCAAAATGCCTCGTACCATTTGGAAATAGCACTAGTACATTTAAGCTCTTCACCTTCACCGTTCCCAAGGGATGCGAGATTGTGCACCCGTAGCCTGCCAGTGCCCCCCCCCCCCCTACACACACAACCCAAAGGGGCCAACATCCTTGTTGACCACTTTCGGCTCTGATAGCACTTATAACAACCCACTCCACAACATGGTATGATATTGTCCACTTTGGGCTCAAACCCTCATGATTTTGCTCATGGATTTTACCCAAAAGGCCTCATACCATTTGGAGATAGCACTAGGACATATATACTTCCCCTTTCCACACCCAAGCAATGTGGGATCCTGCCAACATGGTAGCTTGCTAGTGCCTCAAACTGCCCACAAGGTCGGCACAAACCAACCCCCCCTCTCCAAAGAGGCCCAACATCCATGTCGGCGCAATTCCGGCTGGGTCAGGCTTTGGTACCATTTGTAATAGCTTACTCCACCAAATGGTACGATATTGTTTGCTTTTGGCTCGAGCCCGCACAATTTTGTTTTTGGGTTTTACCCCAAATGGCCTCATACTAAGGACTTCACCTTCACTTTACCCAGGCAATGTGGGATTGTGCATTCGTAGCCTACCTGGTAGCCATACAGTGCCTCACACCCACAAGTTTGCCACGATTACCCCCTTGTAGGGGTCAACGTCCTCGTTGCCACACATTCGGCCGGGTTCCGGCTCTGATACCATTTGTAATAGCCTACTCCACCACATGGTATGATATTGTCCGCTTTAGGCCCGAGCCCACACGATTTTGCTCTTGGGTTTTACCCAAAAGGCCTTATGCCATTTGGATATAACAATAGCACATACATACTTCTCCTTTCCACACCCAGGCAATGTGGTATCATGCACCCGTAAAGTCGCCACAATCCAGCCCGTAAGAGGCCCAACGTCCCCGTCTTGAAATGATGACATCAAGCATTCAGGAAAGTATCTCTCTCTCTCTATCTCTCTCTCTCTCACACACACACACACAGAGTTAGTGTCATCCTGACACACTCTCTCTCTCTCTCACACACAGTGTCACCATGATACACTAATCCTTCAATTAATTCTTTTGATTCCAACAACATTTACTGAAGAAAAAAAAAAAAAAATCAAAAATAAATTTGTCCTACTTACCTTGGACAGCTTCTCACGTGCTTCAAGGGACAAATTTGTCATCGCATAGTAATCCAAATCTTTTGGGAGTGGTCTATGTTGCTGGTGAACCATCTACAAGAGAATCAAGGACAAAAACTGAAAAATGAGACATGTTTCAATAATCATATCTGTGAAATGCTCAATGAATAAACCACACCCATGAATGTCAAATAAAATATGACATTCCAAATGCATATGTGATTCACACAGTATCGTTGATTGCACACTGACATGTTCAAAACAGAAAGGTAAAAATAAAATCAAAAATAAAAAAACATATCACGACCATATATTAGAAGTAATAACTAATTTGACTCATTAATGTTGATGATTATATTGATTTTTAACCTGTTGGAGTTGGTTCTGCTGGCGCACAATAAAGCCCTCGTACTTGATATCAATCTCCACACATTCTTTCTCCACCCTAGACAGGAGTTCATTTCCAAAGCCATGTTTATCAAGAACGTGATATTGGATGTGCGGTTTCTTAAGAATACTCTCTAGCGTTGAAGAGTCCTTCACTGGCTGACCAGACAAAAGAGTAACATCAGCGGCCAAATCTCCACCTGGAAGTAAACACCAGAGAATCACTAGGTTTCATATATAAATATTAAAAATCGGTGTGCAATTCATTTTACCTCTAATAAGTCAAATTACTTAACATAAGAAGATATGGCATTTGAAAGTCGATCTTAAAGTGACCATATATTACTGCTAAGATTTGTTTAAAAAAAAGAAACATCTGAATCAAAAGGGACTGACATATATGTTACATGAATTGCATCCCTAGTTGGTACATACGTTTATTGTAAGCGTATGTATGAATTGTAAATATTGCCCGTTTTCTGCCCAACACAAAAAGATCATAATTTATGTCTTTTTGTCTCCAATCGTATAATACTCAGCTATTCATCTACTGTCTAAGAAATGGTCATCTAATATGAAATTTAGATTGCCCCCGGCTTCCTAACTCTATTGTCAATTGCATTCTGTTCAAACATTGAATCGCCTAAATAACTGTGTTATCTTTCAGTCTACATATTCTCTCATTCCCTCACCGCAACCGTAAACCCATATTCTCTTACTGGAGTGGTGACCTATGGAAAAAATTGCACTCCTCCAACTAATAGATGGATAAAGCCATGAACATCTACAATGGGGAAGAAGAAGTGCCAATCGACCCCGAGGATGTGAAGTAGTCTGTCTCTACACTCCTGTCCGCCCAAAGACACAAGGACTCAAGCTCCTCTCTCTCTCTCTACAATTACATACATGTAATTATAGTATATAATTTTCACATAGCTGCATGATGTATTTTAGTGATCACGAGTTGTGGAATGGCTTTCGAGATCATTGGGAGGAGCCAAGAAGTGAAACAGCAAAGGGAAATATAAATTATATATAAAGTTTCCTTACAAAGTTCATGTAACAGAGCAAATGTAGACATCAGGCTCATTGCAAATCAGTCAAAGGTTCCTGATTGCAGAATTTATCCAAAATATTGCAAAAATGAGTTAATGATTAATTACTCTGATGAATATAAATATCATATATAAACTTTTCTCTGGCATAAGAGTAGAAAAATAATACATAGCTGAATTTTTGGTCCCGAAATTTAACTGGAAAACGTATTACACATGAATATATCTGCATTCATACTTTTCCGATTCCATTTGTATGCCGAAAATTTTAATGTCTTACTCAACCATAATCAAATTATAATCGTATGTATTTGAACATGTATTTTCTCCATATCGTATGTTATTAACTATGATTGCGTCCATCAGTTGCATATGAGCAGAAGTCCTGGTTTTAGATATAAAAAATCCAAATCTTAGGATATTGTAACACAGTTAAAAATTTGTTGACTTGTATGTCTGACGACATGGTGCTCCATTTATGTTCTCAACAATACAGACACTTTGTCATGTCTACAAGGGGTACTTTACATTTTTTAGTATGTATGTGAAAAAAAAAAAAAAAAAACACTGGCAGAATTAAACAAGTGCACCTTATTCTACAAGTGAAGGAAACTTTGGCCTTATTTTAATTCTCTGTTGCGAAATACATTATTCTATTTGGATCAAGACCCCCTTAGCTGGATAAGATGTATTTCAATTTATCGGCTGTAAAATGCTGTCCAGAAATGGGGTACACTGGTTTTGGTCCACAATAAAGGGTGGCTTATTTGAGTCTGTTTGCTCTTACTTTGGTTGTCCATACTCTTTAGAACATATCATTTAACAAACCTTGAGATGATTATCTTCCTGAGTTTTCGCAATCAATCATCAGAGTACAACTAATAGAGGACAGCAAGTGGAACAAAATATTAAATTTTATGTGCATAGATACTACCCCTCTAAATTTGGAGTATCTCCTACATTTTTTCCATTGGAATATGCTAACTATAAAATCTAATCCTTAACACAGAAAGGGAAGAGGCCAACCTGAAATTCTGACAGTTTTCAGTCGTTTTTTTTCCTCCGAAATTCGAGCTTGTTTATCCTGGAATATTTTCCAGCGTCTATCATCTATCAATCCAATTTCACGCCCCAGAGGTGTGAGACGGCTATCAGCATTGTCGGATCGAAGTAGTAAACGATGTTCTGAGCGGCTAAGAGGAATAAAAAAGATGTGAAACTGCTAACTGTTGGATAACGAGAACAAAGACAATAACTGAATAAACTGTAATGCTATCATGAGGCTGACTTCATGATAGTTGTCATGAGCTCTCTTTTAAATTATCACATTTTGACCACAAAAAATAGTGCACAAGTTAGATCATCACATAGCCAATATTAAAATGATCTCACAGTAAATAAAATAAAATAAAATCACCTCAAAATACCATTAAATATAAGTTTGGTGTTAGCTTTAATGAATTTTTATACGAAATTTTGATTGTATGATCTCTATTGGAAGATATATATTGTTTCCCTTGATTTTAGGGATCTGATTGATTTCTGACTATTGTAAATTAGAACAAGATTGTAGGACAGATTGATTGCAGTAAAATAGGATAGATTGATTGCTTTAAATTAGGAACAGATTTGTAGGAAGATTTTTTATTCTTTTCCTTGTATAGCTTTCTCTCTTTCCTATATATACTTGTACAAGATGTTAATATATGAAGCAGAATATTTTACACAGAAAATTTCTACATGATCTCCAAAAAATCCTCTTTTAAATGGTTGGATGCATGTTTCAATATATGTATATGATCATGACAAAAAAGACAGAAAGCTCATGACAACTACCACGAGGTATGGAATTATTTGTTTGAGTAATGCTACCATGAGGTCCTCATGGTAGCATTACTCAAACAAATAATTCTTTCCCTGATTTAAAATTTAAGAAACAAAATGATTATCATCTGAGACAAACTCAAACAAAAGCTAGTTAGGTACTATACCGTAAATTTTACACCTCTGTTTACAAACACACACGCACACACACAACAACAATAATCTGTACATTTAGAGAAAGAAACACAGAATCTTTGGGTTGCCAAGATATTAACAGTTTAACAAGAAGTGCAAATCTCTCATATACATAGGAAAATGTAAAAGAGTGGACTTCCTGTAGTAATAGATAGGTCAAAATCTGAGACATTCTAGTATATCACAGAGACGGTAGCCGAAAAAGCTAAGTGCTTGAAGGGAGAACTCATGTCAAGAGCTGATAGAGAGGGGTTGATTAAGTGTGTTCTGAGATGCAGAACCGATGCGAAAACTCTCTCTTTTATTGGCGCCCGATAGGTAGGCTATTCCTTACCAACATACTCTCAACAGAATCATTTTAGATTGGGGTCCATTATAAATGAGTCTACAAGTATAAATTATGCATGGAGCATCATTTCAAGATTTACGAATTAACAAGTTACTGACTTTAAAATATCATTTGTAGTGATGATTTGCTTCTTCCATGGCCCCATTGCAGATATGAACTTGTCTCCATGGGGACATAAACACACTCAAAGTCAAACTTAATAAGAACTTAGATATATCAGCATCTAATTATGCCCTCAGAAATATTGGTTTCACAAATTTTTAAAGAAAATCATTATTTACTTTTAGTACTATATGTCAGTACTTGCAGAATGAGGAGGTCACATTCTAAAAAGGTGACGAACAACTTGCCACAATGAAATAATGGTTATTTTCTATCTTGAAACAAACAAGCATTTTAATTTTGAATATGCAAAGATGACGTGCAGTTAGTGCCCTTGGTGAAATCCACCATTACCGATTTAGATTCTTATTTTCAATATTTAAAGTTGGTAGTATTGTGTTGGTCACGTAAATACAAAGGTGGATGGATAGTGAAATAGCAGCAAAAGGCATATATATTGTTATCCTGGTTTATCAAGGGCTTGCATTATGTGATAATGTTTTTTTTTTTTTTTTTTTTTTTTTTTTTTTTTTTTTGATAAGTAGAGATTGTAGAAACAGCGTTCAAAAGGGGAACGCGCCTCTCAAAAGATACACAAGGCCAAAAAGATTGCATTATGTGATAGTGTTTGCATAACGACCATGATATGGCAATGTAAACTACCATAGTTTCACACAGAGAGGATGATGATACATAAAATAAATGGCGTAGAATAGAAGATGGAGAATTATATTTATTTCAACTCCTATACTTTCATAATCTTGATGCAAGAAGAAACATAAATGCAAAAGTAATTGTGAATGGAACATGCTTTCCGCAAGAATATGAATGGAACCTCATTGCACTGTTCATCAATTTTTTTTAAGTAAAACGATACCTCAATTTTCTTAAAAACTTGTATAAATCTTATATCATACTTTTATCACCGTAATAGTATGAAAAACAAATCCCATGATATCAGTATTTAAGCAATAAATTGCTCCTTATTACCTTGTCAACATGCGATAAGGCTCTCGGAGGTCTTTGGTAACTAGATCATCAATCAGAGTCCCTATATAACTGCTTTCCCTCTCGAGAACAATCAAAGGTTTACCCTCTGAATGCCTGGCAGCATTAATTCCAGATATGATTCCCTACATTAACAGATAAACTGAGACAAATCTCTGCCAGGTACACATATAGCCACAATAATTTTTTAATAGAAACAACTTATTTTTCAACCGTTGGAAGCCACAAAATTATATTTTCTTTGTGCAACTAATAAAACAATCAATATCAAGATGAAGGAAGAATAAATATTCATCTGGAAGAGAAACGAAAAAAGGCAGAATTAATCATGTTCTAAATATGAAACCTGTGCAGCAGCTTCTTCATAGCCTGTTGTTCCATTTATCTGACCAGAGAAGAAAAGTCCTTCAATTTTCTTTGTCATAAGAGACCTAAAGCACTGATGAGCAGGCAGAAAGTCATACTCCACAGCATAAGCAGGCCTCAGCATTGAACAGTTTTCAAGTCCAGGTAAAGTTCTCAAAAGTGGTAACTGTAGTCTCTCAGGTAAACCAGTCGAGAACCCCTGGAAGTACAGAAAGGTTATAATTTAAATGTAAAATGTTATAAAGAAGTATTAGATTTCAATGTATATGATAAAAAAAAAAGGTATATCTGTACTTCCTTGTCTCTTGTTTGATCAGATAAGTGGGCTACATCAAAGCACTGTTCTTACAACTAACCCCTCGCCCCCAACCCACTTTCTCTCTTCTCCCAAAATATCAACACCAAGAAAATTAGGGAAAAAGAAAAGGCAGCAAATCTAGCAATGCATCCGTTTTAATGGAATTAGCAGATTTCAGTTTAGAAATGCTTATAGACACTTGATGGAATTCGCATCAATAACAGTTTCTGTGAGTCTTTTATTCCCACTAATTTCAGCAATTTAAGTATTCGACATGCAGTTATATTTTCATCGATATTATCATCTAGCTTTTCAACAGTTATGCCGACTTCTGCATTACATTTTCATTACTCTTCTTTTCTCTTTCTTTTTAAACTTTTGTTTTTACTGATATGAAAATCACAAGGCGTCGTTTCTTGGTGCAACAGTGAAAACAAGGACCGAAAAGCATGAAAAATCAAGAGTCTAAGAGCATCCACTTAGTGCAAAACAAGGTCACAAATTATAACTGTCTCCAGTACATCCCTTCCCTACCCAAGACCTAATATTGGCAATTTGTTAATAAAAAATTAATAATATCATATTTTGTTAACATAAGAAAATAGCATGGTGGGGATTCAAAGCTACACCCCAAGGATACAGCCAGACTAAAAGCCAGAACACTATTTCATCCAAAGTAATAATTTTATTAACTTTTTAGGAGAGTGATAACAAGTTTGATCTGAAAGTAGTACGCTGCTCAACATATAAAATTTCTGATGCATTAAAATAGTCAGAGGACAGCATAAACATTAGAATATTTTGTCCAAACATTAACTTTCTACATTTTTTCTAATCAATAGGAGGGAATTTAATACTGTTGTCAATTTGAAGTAATATTCTTCTCATTATTTACCTTTTTAGCAGAAATGCGTATATTGCGATGGATGTCCAGAAAGACAAGTTAGGAAAGAATTAGAAGTGAACACATCCATGAGATGGTTGAAGTAGCACCAATTGAAGAAAAAATAATAGAAAATCGATTAAGATTGTTCCAACATAATGTAAATAAAACCACTAAGTTTGCCGGTTAGGAAAAGCAACATCGTCGACATTGAGGGTGACGCTAGGGGAAGGGGAGACCAAAGTAGAGCAGAGTTAGTAAGAAAGGATAATAAAACAGGTGGTTTGACTGAGGCTATAGCTCAAATGGAAAATTAGGATTCATATAATTGACCCCAAGGAGTTTGGAAAAAGGATTTGTTGAGCTGTGAGTTAAATTATTTATTTACTAGCTTTATGTGGTCGCATTTTAATAAAATAATAAGAATTTAAAATTGGTCAAAAGGAACAAAAAAGACCTAATCACCCTCTCTAGGTCAGTTTTGATATATGTGAAACTTACCTTGCATATGCCACTCTCAGTAGCAACTTAAAACCGTTGGAACTTCTAACAGAGGACTGCAAGATCTGACATGCATTATTAAAAAGGGAGAGTGGACTTGGGTGGGATACTCAATGGCAGATTATGGATGCTACATGAAAATGGGATAGAGCTATATAATGCATTATCAAGACATGGAAATAGCCAAGTGTTTTTGTAAATTCTTGTTAGAGATTGAATTATGAGAGAATCTTCAGGACTGTAATAGTGAAAAGATGTTACTTTGGCAGTGTGTAATTTATGAAGATTGAAACATGAGAATCTTCAGGACTGTAATAGTGAAAAGATGTTATTTTGGCACTGTGTAATTTATGATTGCAGTATTAGCTTTCTATTAAATTTGTGTGCACTGTTCACAGCCATGCTAGACTATTTTAGGTTGAAATGACGGTTATATACAGTAAGGAATTATTTTGAGCTCAAACAAACTTCAGAATATAGCTACCACGCAATGTGTTGCTCTGTAAAAATATAAGAATCTTCAAAACTATTTTACCTCATAAATTCTATTCTTGAAATCACATTTGCTGCAATCTTAAGTAAACTTGCTTTTGGTTTTTGATAAGGATACCTGATTTTGCAAAAAAAGAATTCCCCGGAAGTCAAAGCAAACACGCAACCATTACCCACAACATGCCCCTAATGGGGCTCAAACTCTCAACCTCCCCTTTGGTGAGGAGAGATCATATCATCTGGGGAGGTCCGGTGGTTACCTATTCTGCTATTGTGACAAGCAAAACTAAAATTTTCAAGTTATTAAGGATTTTACAAAATTTTAGGGAATGCTTCAAGCCTTCAAGGCTTCTAACAGTCTAATTACCAGAAAGATTTTGTTTTACATAAAGTGCACGAAATTGAAATGATGCAGCTATTTTAACTTCGTTTAGATCTGTTTCTGGATGTTTGAGAATCAAGTTTTTATTTTTTATTTTTACAAGTCTTTTGCGCTCAAGAGGGGAGTGCTCCCAAGAAAACAAAAAAAGGCCAAACAAGACCGGCTATAATCTCAAACTATCACCAAAATCCACAGGTTCCCCACAGATGTACAATTTCACCCATTGACCCAAAAAAAAAAAATAAAGAAATCAAAATAAAGTATTTGAAAGACCATATAGGAGTCTCTTTGCCAGCAAAGGATGTCATATTTCTCTCGTGCCACAAGCTCCTCCATAAACAAAGGGGAGTGGCCCTAGCTCACCTATCCACCATAGAACCAAGTTTTTATTTGAACACCACAATAAGAAATTCGCGAAGTCTTTTTGTTGCTATTTTGAATCTTTTTTTTTTTTTTTTTTTCCTTCCTTGGTACTCACACACCCATGAAGTGTGAAAATGTGGATTCGAATACTGAGAGCAGCCACTTTGTGCAAAAAAATGCCAAAAGTTAGGTCTTCAAGTCTGCCCCTCCCAACACCCTTTGGTAGCAGAACCACACTGGATAATGACCCTTTTAGTATTTTGAATCTAGCTTCTGGAAAGGAAAAATAGGATGATTTTCATAAAGTAATGAATTTACAAAAATTTCTAAACCACAGAAGTCTAAGCTGTCACAGTAAAGGCAAAACAGTAAGCGGTTCTAAAATGTATTTTAAACAATAATAAATGTAGCTTATTTTGGAAATTAAAATTCCAGAAAGATATATCGGCCTTTGAAAATCGAAATTTTACTTCACACAAAAAAGAATCATAAATAGAAAGTGATGAATTTTAATAGCTGATGCTTCATGCGGGCAGAGCTGGAAATCTGAATTTTATGATGAATTTTTTTTTTTCTTTTATAAGTAAAATTAAATAAAAGCACTCAAAAGGGGAGCGAATCCCAATAAAGAACACAAGGCCACAAAGGACCTAAGCCTTCAAAGAGGCCACAAAATCAATAATCTCCTCTAAAGATCTATAATCTCTCCCTGAAACCCAACAAAAAAGAGTGGAAAGAATAGAAAATTTAAGAACAGAAATCGACATCTCCTGTCCTTCAAAATATCTCCTATTCCTCTCGAGCCATAAACACCACCACACACACAGAGGCGTAGCCCTCCAAGCATCCCGAATGACAGCTCCCACAGAGCATCCACTCCAGGCCTCAATCAACCCTCTCACGGAACAAGGCATAACCCATGGAAACCCAAACAATCTAATCATCAAATCCTTGCAAGCTCTAGCAATGGTGCAATGTAAAAGAAGATGATCCACCGTCTCCTCATCACGAAGACACATATAGCAACGATTAACCACCACCTGATTTCTCCTCCCCAAGTTATCCTAGGTTAAAATCTTTCCCAGGACAGAGGACCATGCAAAAAAGGCCACCTTAAGAGGAGCCTTTGAGCGCCAAACAGACTTCCAAGGAAAGTAATCCCTAGGATCATTCGTGAGGCACCTGAAAAAGGACCTAACCTCAAAACGCCCCTTAGAGTTATCAGCCCAAGTCCAACCATCAGAATCCTCAGCCACAATCCTCTGGCGATACAACAGCTCCAAGAAACGAATAGCTTCCTCAATCTCCCAGTCCCGAAGCAATCACCTGAAACGAACATCCCACACCAGTCTCCCATTATCAAGATGATAACAGTTGACCACCATGGCCTGCCTATCTATAGCAATCCTGAAGAGCTGAGGAAAAACAAGAGCGAGAGGAATATCTCCACACCAAATATCCTCCCAAAAACTAACCCTCCTACCATCCCTGAGTCGAAAACGGATATGTTTGAAAAAATCAACCCACCCCTTCCGAATAACCTTCCAAACCCCCACTCCCCGAGGCTCACGCACATCCAGGGAACCTACTCTCCCCAAACCGACTCGCCACAACCCTCCTCCAAAGCCAGTCTCTCTCCACTCCAAACCTCCACAGTCATTTCCCAAGGAGAGCCTTATTAAAAGGCACCAATCTTCTAAGGCCCAAACCTCCATTCCGAATGGGTCTGCAAACTAGCTCCCATTGAGCCAAATGGAACTTGAATTCATCCCCTCCACCCCCCCCCCCCCCCCCCCCCCCCCCCCAAAACAGAAAATTACGCTGTAATTTCTCTATCCTCTCTGCTACAGAAGAGGGAATCTGAAAAAGGGAGATAAAATAAGTTGGAAGGCATGAGAGAGTGCTCTTAATCAAAATGACCCGACCTCCCTTAGAGAAGTACTGCTTCTTCCAACCAGCCAATCTCCTCTCAAATCTATCAACCACAGGATCCCAAACCCCCACACACCTCGAAGGGGCTCCCAGAGGCAACCCTAAGGAAGAGATGGGAAAAGAGCCAGTACGGCAACCAAGAATATCAGCAAAAGTCTCAATCTCAGGGACCTCCCCCACTGGCACCAGAACGCTCTTACCAACATTCACCTTGAGGCCAGAAACAACTTGGAACCAAATCAGAACACACCGCTAATAACGAAGCTGGGACACATTCGCATCACAAAGAACTAACGTGTCATCTGCAAACATCAAATGGGATATCTCCAACTGGGAAGCAACATCCCTGCCCACCCGAAAACCACTCAAAAATCCGAGCTCAACTGCCCTACTCATCAATCCATTGAGGGCCTCCATGACAAACAGGAACAAGAAAGGGGAGAGCGGATCCCCCTGTCTCAAGCCCCTCGAGCTATTGAAAAAACCTTTAGGAGCACCATTCACAAGAATCGAAGAGTGAGCACTAGAAATACAAAAATGGATCCATCTCCTCCACCGATCACCAAACCCCATCCTCTCCATCAGGTAAAGAAGGAAGCTCTAACTCACATGATCATACGCCTTCTTAATGTCTAACTTACATAAAACACCCGGGACCCCACTACGCAATCTGGAATCCACACACTCACTAGCAATGAGAACTGAATCCAAAATCTGACGACCTCCCACAAAAGTGTTCTGAGAATCAGAAAAGACACCATCCAGAACTTTCCTCAACCTAGAAGCAAGGACCTTGGCAATCAATTTGTAAATACACCCCACCAAACTAATAGGCCGAAAATCCTTAACATCTAACACCCCTCCCTCTTTCGGAATAAGAGCAATAAAAGTGGCATTCAGACTCTTCTCAAAAGAGCCTTGACCATGGAAAGCATGAAAAGTGCCCACCACCTCCCCTCTAACCACCTCCCAGCACTCCAGAAGGAATCTCATGGTGAACCCATTTGGACCCGGAGCTTTGTTCCCATTACAACTCTTCAAAGCAATCAGAATCTCCTCTTCAGAGAAAGGCTACTCCAGAACCGCGCACTCCTCGCTTGAAATAGAGGCAAACTGAAGCCCATCAAGTAAAGGCCTCCACCCAATAGTCTCTGTGAACAAATTCTCATAGAACTCTGAAATGCCCTTGCAAATCTCCTCCTCCTAACAAAATAACTCCCCCTCCACCCGAATCCGCCCAATATGATTGCCCCTTCTATGAGCATTGGCTAATCTATGGAAAAATTTTGTGTTCCTATCCCCCTCCATAAGCCACAAAGCCCTAGACTTTTGCCTCCATGAGATCTCCTCCATGATTGCAATCTCAGCAAATTCCGCCTGACACTCCACCCTCCTAGCCTTCAAGGAATCCACCAACTCCCTTTGCCCTTCAATCCAATCAATATCAGCAATCTAAGCAAGAACCCGATTCTTTCTCCACACAATATTCCCGAAAACCTCTTTGTTCCAAATTTTGATATTATCCTTCAAAAGACGCAAATTTCCTACAAGCAAATGACTTGGGGTGCCAGTCACCCTGAACCCCTCCCACCAAAGACGGACCCTCCCCAGAAAACCCTCTGCCTACAGCCACATATTCTCGAATCTGAAAGGAGAACGTCTACTGCGCAATCCACCACAATCCAACATCAACGGAACATGGTCAGAGATAGGGAGAGCCAAAGTAGTTTGCACAACATCAGAAAACTTCTCCTCCCACTCCCTGGACACAAGGAATCTATCAAGCCGAGAGAGAGTAGGGGGAGAGCGGCCACTAGACCAAGTAAAAGGCCCTCCCTCTAAAGGCAAATCCAGCAGCCCAAACTCATCAATGAACACCGAAAAGGACTCCATATCTGACGTCCACCTCCCCGCGTCAACCTCTCAAAAGGAGATCGAACAACATTGAAATCCCCTCCAACACACCACGGCAACGGCCATCTTCTTCTAACCTCCCTAACTCCTCTCAAAGCAAAAAGCAAGCTCTGTCTTCAGTAGGCCCATAAACACCAGAAAAGACCTAATGAACATCATCCTCCACCAAAGAGAAAACGCACGAAACAAAGAATTTCCCAACCTGAGAATCCACCTTATTCACCCATCTGTTATCCCACATGATCAGGATGCCACCTGAAGAACCAATAGCATCCAAGGCAAACCACTCCACAAATCAACCTCCCTAAAGGCTCCGCACCATCCTATCCGACATCGATGCAAGCTTGGTTTCTTGCAAACATACCACATGACCTCCCCCAACACGAATAACCGACTTCACCACTTTCCTTCTGACGGGGTCATTGAGCCCCCGGACATTCCATGAAATAATTCGTAGCTTCATAGGGAAACAATTGAGTCAGCAAGCCCTTCCCTCCTTCCACTATCCCTCTCCCTGGATCCCCTATTCCTCCTTCCATACGTGATAACCTCAGTGGGACTCTGAACCACCCTCGCTCCCACCCCATCAGGCACCCTACTCCTACCTCCCACCCTTTCCTTAATTTGAGAGTTGAGAACATCTTGAAACAAACACATTGCCTCATCCACCCTACCTTCGAACGACACTCCCAAAAGAGAGCCCACATCCAAACCCTTTTCCCTCAACCACTCCTCTTCCACTCCTTCAACATCCGTAGAACCACTCCCTCAATCTCCCTCCGAGCGGACAACAGCTAAAGGGACAGCCAAGTTCACAGCCTGCTCCAAATCCTCCCACTGAGCCAAACTCAAATCACCATAAAGGGAAGAGCCTGCAGTTTCCTCCCAATCGTCAAGGACAGAAGAAGAATGAGAACACCCAGTCCGCTGCGATTCAATCACCTCCTCAGACACCCTCCCCTTGATTCACACTGAAAGCTTTTCAAAGCCAAAAAATCTCGTAATTCCTTCAACAGAACAATGGCAGACACATCATTAACCTTAATCTTCACGTCACGTCCAATGCACACCGTGACTTCCTCACCAAACTCCTCCCTAGGCCGAGAGAAACCCAATCTGTTCACTAGCGGTTCATTCACCGAATTCCCCTCTACAATCGGGGCCAAAGGGACAGAAACAGTGGCCATCCCTCCTTCCTCCAACCTCGAGCATCTCATCGACCCCCCAATGGAAAGAGAAGAAGGAGAAAAAAATGGAATGAGAGGAGAATTTACAGAAAACAAACAAGACTTACTCGGATCAGAATCCGAGTGAACAGACGACACCCACTTCTGTTTATCCTTTCTCGTCCATCTTTTACGAAGAGCAGGAAGAACGACCTTCTTGGCCAGCCGATGACGCTGCACGGGGACCTTCAGTCGCCGATCATCTCTAGAACCCATACAAGATGAACCAGGAACCTGTGATGCATTTCCTTTCACCGAGGAAGAAAAAGGCCCAAACGTGTTTCCCAAACAAAACCCAGAGCAAGAAGGAGTTGTTCCCGACCCACTCTTCAACCCAAAAAGAATTGTGCACAACCCACTCTTCAGCCCAGAAGATCCACCAACCGAACCATTTAAAAGTGGATGGGCAACTGACCCACCAGCCGATCCACAAGAGGTTAGCCCATGATTGCCAAAACCCGGAGGCCCAGTGACAGGCTTTTCATTGCCTAAAGACCCCTCAACCGGCCCACCAAAAGATAGAGCTTGACAGACCACCAAAGCCCCTTTCCCCGTCCCAGCAACAGGCCCCTCAACACAAGTGGGCTTCGGAGCGAAAAGTCTTTTAAAGCTCTCCGAATTCTGGATCCACATCGCATCCCTCCATTCCATCCATTTCTTGAGCTCAGACATCCACTTTTTCCCCATAGATCTCAATTTCAGCCATTCTTTTTCCTTGAGCAAATGCGACCCATCTCCTTCTTCTAAACAATCTGTCGTCAGAACAAGCTTGGGATGTTTCTCCTCCCAAACAACCACCTTACGTTCATCATGGACAAACACAAAGAGAGGGCAAGCCCGACCATCCGACACAGCAATACAAACTCTTTCAGCATCAATAGCTTCATTGGCATCCGCCCACACAAACCCACCACATAAATCACCGACCGTCACAAACAAGGCATGACACCATAGGTGAAGAGGGAGACCATAGATCGTCACTTTCTTCAACCCCTTCTCCTTTAAGACCTCCTTCTCCTTCAAGACCTCTGAGCAACCGACCCTAAAACTCCAAGCATCCACTCGTAAAGTGGCCCTCCCCCAATCACGGCGACCCTCTTTAAGCACCCAAGTTGCCTCCGCCGCAGAGGGAAGCCGAAAAAGAAGCAAAGAATCTGGCAAAGACGAGACCGTCACACCAGCGGAGATCCTCCAAGCTCGCGATGCCCAAGCAGCGATTTGATCCCCATCACCCACTTCTTTATCGAACTTTCCGACCAAGCATGATCAAAGATTTTCTCTCCTCCTACCAACCGAGTCGTCATCCAAGAAAATCGAGGGCCCTCTGTACGGAATCGCAGATCTCACAGAACCACCTTGGAACAAACGAGGCAACCAATCAACCTCCAAGAACGAACACATGACAAAGAAAACCAACAAGACAAGAAACCCACTAAAACCAACCAACAGGAACCTTTTCCTTTTATAATGAAATTATACTATAAAACTAGGAATCTTGTATATAATATTTTGAATACACTATAAACTAGGGATTTAGGCTTTCCTGTGTTAGGATCACTACGAGATGTCCTCATAACAGTAACAAAGTTGAGCAGTAATCACCAATTGATCCCAGTAAGGCAATAAGTGGCACGAGAACACAAATTGAGATGAAGATGCATTAAAGTCTCCGTAATTCAAAAAAACTTACTAAATCAACAGGGAATTAAATCATTGGCAATTAGAAAAAGAGCAATCATATGTTGCATTTTCTTCAAAAGCACCTTTACTCATATAATCATATTACAATGAAAATTGCAAGGAAAAGCAGTAATAAAATTCCATCAAACCTGTACATAGAGGTCAGGCACATTCCGACCCTCCGGTTCAAGGAAAATTTGATGAGATTCTTTATCTTTAAATCTTACAATCTGAAACAAGATGGTCAACTCTATTAGAGAAATTGTCTGAAAGAATATGGTATTGATATTATCATAACAAAGTTATTTTCACAAGTTACAACACCGCCAATTTTTTCCCTAAATAACAAAAATGATTTTTGCCTCCAACATTTTGAATTGTTTTTATTTTTTTTCTGCAAGAAACAAAAAACAAAGTGGGTCAATGGACTTCCACAAACCAGACTTCACATCTTCGCATGGAGTATATGTTAACTTTAAGAGATAATCAAATCAAAGAATAAAGTATAAGAAAAAGAGAAGAAAGAGGATGAGAGAAAAAGAGAGAGAGATGGGGAAAAAGAGAGAAAATGAAAGAATACTTTCATCCTTCCACCACATTATATTTATAATAATAAGTTTTAGAAATTACACATAAGCCCCAACATTATATAAGTAATAACAAATAAGCCCCTGACAACACTCCCACTCAAGCTGGTGCAAAAATATCTATCATGACCAGCTTGACTAACATATTTTGCAAGCAAGTCTTGCTCACACCCTTAATCAAAACATCAGCAACCTGATCATGTGTGTTGACGTATGGAATACAAATTAGCCCAAGACGAAACTTTTCCTTGATGAAGTACCGATCGACTTCAATGTGCTTTGTCCTGTCATATTGAACTGGATTATGGGCAATGCTAATAACAGCCTTGTTGCCACAATACAACTTCATTGACTCACGAATAGGATAACCCAACTCAGCCAACATCGTTCGTAGCCATAACAACTCACAAACTCCATGTGCCATGGATCTGAACTCAGCCTCTACACTAGATCTACCTACTACAAACTATTTCTTGCTTCTCCATGAAACAATATTACCTCCAACAAATGTGCAATATCCTAAAGTAGATCGTCGATCTGCCACAGACCCTGCCCAATCAGCATCAGTATAGGCTTCAACACGCAAGTGGCCATGACGGCCAAACAATATCCCCTTACTAGGTGAACCCTTGAGGTAGCGAAGAACATGATAAGTTGCCTCAAGGTGAGGTATATGTGGAGCATGCATAAACTGACTAATCACACTAACAGCGTAGACAATATTTGGGCGCATAAGAGATAGGTAAATCAGTCTCCCAACCAATCACTGAAATCTCCCCACATCGTCTAATGCGTCTCCATCTACATCATTAAGCCTATGGTTCTGCTCTATAGAAATATCAATAGGTCTAGCTCTAAGCCTACCTGTTTCAACCAACAAATATAATACATACTTTCGTTCAGAAATGAACACCCCTTTCTTCGATATGCACACCTCGATGCCAAGAAAGTATCTCCATGATCCAAGGTCTTTAACCTCGAATTCTGTCCCCAAAAATGACTTCATTCGATGAATATCTTCTAGATCATTTCCAATGATAACAATATCATCAACTTATACAATAAGGGCAGTGGTGCAACCCTGGTGCTTCTTGATGATGAGAGTATGATCTGCCCGACTCTATGTGTACCATACTCTTTTCACAGCAGTGCTGAACCTCTCAAACCAAGCACGTGGCGACTACTTTAACCTATACAAGGCTTTATTTAGTTTGCACACTAAATTTTGACTATTGGCAAGCTTAAACCCTGGTGGCATAGTGTAAGGAGATATGATAGCCACGATTTATGGGATTTATGGGATGATTTACCATATTAACAGAGATTTGATTATGCCATAGAATATGCTAAAATATACTTTAGAATATATTGTGATTTGATTTAGATTTGATTTAGTTTCCTTTCTTGAAAATATGGGAGCATGTGCTCTATTTATCTATAAATACTAGAGCTGTGAATGAGTGATTTATCTCATTCAAGTCTTTAAATATTATTACATATCATTCAAGCCTTAACACAATTCTCTCATTTTTCTTCTTTTTATATTTCTACTCATGGTCTGAAGAGACATTGTTGATTCTTCCATCTACATGTTTATGGTATGAGGAAACATTGTTGATTCTTCCATCTACATGTTTATAGCTCTAGTATCATTCAAGCATTCTTTTTATGGTCTAAGGAGACATTGTTGATTCTTCCATTTACATGTTTTAAACATGTGTATGAAGGAAAATGGTCTGAGGAGACATTGTTGGTTGTTTACAGTCCGAGGAGACATGGTTGGTTGTTTATGGTCTAAGGAGACATTATTGATTGTTTATGGTGTGAGGAGACTTTTGTGAAATGGTCTAAGGAGACATTATTGGTTGTTTACGATCTGAGGAGATATGATTGGTTGTTTATGGTCTGAGGAGACATTGTTGATTGTTTATGGTCTGAGGAGACATTGTTGATTTGTTGATCGACACTTCATTTGAGAGAAGATCATCTTTGGTCAAATTTCCAATCCATTTGTCACAAGCGCTCAGCAACTTACAGACATTCTAATAAAGGGCGTCAGCAAGATTATGTTTGAGAATGCATTGTCCAAGTTGGGCATTTCAGATATCCATGCACCAACTTTAGGGGGAGTGTTAGCAGATATGATAACCACGATTTATGGGACGACTTACCATATTAGCAGAGATTTAATTATGCCATAGAATAGGCTAAAATATGCCATAGAATATGCTTTAGAATGTATTATGATTTGATTTAGATTTGATTTAGTTTCCTTTCTTGTACTATGGGCATGTGCTCTATTTATCTATAAATACTAGAACTGTGAATGAGTGATTTATCTCATTTAAATCTTTACATATTATTACATATCATTCAAGCCTTTACACAATTCTCTCATTTTTCTTCTTTTTATATTTCTACTTATAATCATATACACCTCTTCCTCCAAGTCACCATGAAGGATGTAACGGCCAATTCAAATTAGTTGCCAAAGAAAGAAGACACGTATAGAGTTCATATTGGCAACTAGAGCAAATGTTTCCAAATAATCAATCCCATGGGTCTAAGTGAAGCCCTTTGCAACTAACCGGGCTTCATATCTCTCAATTGTTTCGTCTGCATGATACTTTATTGTATAGACCCATTTGCAGTGTACTGGTTTCTTACCCCTAGGTAATGGAACAATATCCCAAGTACCATTCTTCTTAAGGGCCTTCATCTCTTCAAGCATGGCTTCCTTCCATAGAGTTGACTCAAAGAATCTGAAACACTAGAAGGAACAGATACAAAGGAGATACACGAAGTGAAAGCACGATATGTTGGAGATGAGGCATAATAGGATACAAAGTAAGATATGGGATGTTTCATACAACTACGAACACCCTTGCGATAGGCAATAAGGCCATCAAGATCAACAGGAATACTATTGGGAAAAGAATCAGGAGTATCAATGTCAATTGAGGAATTACTTGGATCGAGGGAGACTTCTTGGTCCCAAGGTGAGTCAATGACTTGTTTTTCCATCCTAGTGTAGACAATTGGCTGCTTTCCCTGCTGCAAATCATTAGCGGTAGGAGGACCAAACATAGGCACCTTAGTAAGAAGCTCCCCCTGAATGGGAACAGGCAAAGGAAGGGGGCATTCCCTCTGAATGGACGACGGATTCTCTACCTGTTCAGTAGTCTTCCCCTATAGAGAATCCCGAACAATGGAAAAAAAATAAAAAAAATAAAAAAAAAAAAAGGAACAGAGTCAAAGAATGTAACATCCATGGAGCCAAAGCGACGATGAGTGGTAAGGTTATAACACCGATACCCTTTCTAAGTGGAGGAGTATCCAAGAAAGACACATCGGATTGCCTTAGGGTCCATTTTGTCCTTGCGATGATGAATGAGAACATAACAAACACAACCAAACACTTTCGGAGGGACAGTGAACAAGGCAGTGTGATAGTGTAGGGCAGAGAAGGGGAATTGATAACCAAGAACCTTAGAAGGCATGCGATTGATAAGGAATGTAGCTGTTAAGGTTGCAGCACAATAACTTTTAGGCACTCCCATCCCAATTGGAGAGGTAATATGACAGTGTTTTCTTTTAGCTACATCGTTTGTTGTGGTGTATCAACACAGGAGGTTTAATGGACAACCCCGTTATCAGCAAAAAAAAAAAGGCAAGACCACCATACATAAACTCTCTTCCATTATCAGATCGAAGGATTTTGAGGGGACAACCAAACTGAGTACATATAATCCTATGAAAGGCTTTAAAAATGGAATGAACTTCATCTTTGGTTTTTGTAATACCCCTAATTTTCAGAGTATTTAACTTATTAATTTAATTGCATTTTAATTGTCTTATTTGGCTAATTGTTGATTATGTAATGGCTATTTCATTTAAATTGGTAAATTCGATTATGTTAGATTATTTAATGTTTACTTGTCATTATTTGTTTATGTGCAATTTGCTTGTTTAATTAATTAGTTTATTTTATTTTTACTTTTACTCATGGATTGGGCTTGGAGTTATTTGACCCAAAGAAATGGGTTTGGGCTTATTAGAGAAGGCCTAGTTAGGTTATATAGAATTATGGCCATGGGAAGGTGTATATATATATATATATATATTTATATGTGTAAGTGGTTAATATATATATATATCCACCTACTATATACTTATATATTTATATATAGTAGGTGGATATTGTTTTGGTAAGTTAATCTGTTTTGGGAATAATAATAATAATAGTAGTAATGGTATTAGTATTATTATTATTATTTTTAGGGTAAAATGCAAAAAAAAAACCCTAAACTATTAGGGTATTTTTAGGGTAAAATGCAAAAAAAAAACCCTAAACTATTAGGGTATTGCAACTAACCCCCTGAACTACAAACCCCCCCCCCCCCCCCCCCCCCCAAAAAAAAAAAAAAAAACCCTATGCATTTGTTGCAATTTACTCCGTAAGTCAACATTTTGGTACCAGAAATGCCAAAAGACCATTGTACCCTAAATAAAACAACACAGTTTAAGGCTAAGGAAATCTGTAGGCACCTGCCAACGAACCCAGAACCGGTGCCGACAAACCCAGTCCCTTTCCCGTATACATATATGCATATATGTATTTATATATATATATATATATCTTT